GTTCTGGGGCCTTGCACCTCTGGCTGCTGACAGGCAAAACTCATGTCATGGGTGCTTGTGCAACTGTGTCTGTGTTGGGGCACAGGGGAGGGGAAACTGAAGTCACCACCTCCACTTCTTTAAAGTGACTGTTGGAAAATCCTGCTGTGCCAAAATGCTGCCCTACAGGGCAGCGGAGTCCAGCAAGCTGATATTCTAGCACCTAGACATGTAAAACAAAGCCCTGTTCCCTGCAAGATGCCATGCAGTCATACACCACTATCTCCTAGAGGCCAGCAAAATGGAGATGGTCAGCCAGGACTGTTGAGCTACATAGACAAGTGATGGAATGAAACAGAACAGCCGTTTCAACTCAAAACAAAAGTCTAAATGAAACACTGTTCTGTCAAAAAGCTGGTTCAAATGAAATGCTTGTTTCACACAGCCCTAGGTTCTAGGTATTATACTCAGTGTGAACTCATAGAGGCTGTTAGGATGGGGAAAGGAAATTGAGTAATTGAGATAGGGGTAACTGAGGATGAGGAAGGGTGAGCAATGGGAGGGGTGGTGAGGTAAGTGGAGAACTTTTGGCAAGAAAAGCAAGAGAAGAGATGAGCAGGATCAGAAGAGGGAAGAAGTATAGAAATCACTTGTCTATGTAGCTCAACATAGAGGGAGAGTGTCACCTCTCTGGACAGGCTTGAGATGCACCTTTGGATGCATGACAAGGTATGGCTGGCCTTGCTGGCTGCGGTCTGGCATTGGCGGCTCATGTTCATCAATAATCACTGCAAGATCCCTTTCCACCTCTATGCTTTCAAGAAGGGAACTCCCCAGCCTGTATGTTTGCTGTGGATTCCTTCTCCTAAGGTGCAGCACCCTGCATTTGTCTACGTTGAACCCCATCCTATTCTCGTCTGCCCACTTTTGTAGTCTGTCTAAATCTAGTTGCAGCCTCTCTCCCTTCAAGTGTGTCCACCTCGCCCCACATCTTAGTGTCATCAGCAAACTTGGACAGCGTGCTTTCCACCCCCTCGTCCAAGTAGCTGATGAAGATGTTAAACAGTGCAGGCCCGAGGACTGAGCCCTGGGGTACCCCACTGCTCACATCTCGCCAGGTTGAGTACAACCTGTCCACCACTACTCTTTGGGTGCGCCCCATCAGCCAATTTTTTACCCATCCAACTGTGCAGGCATCAATACCGTAGTCATTTAATTTAGTGATGAGGATGGGGTGAGAGACAGTGTCAAAGGCCTTCTTAAAGTCTAGAAAGACTATGTCCACAGTGACACCATCATCCAAGGATTTAGTTACTTGGTCGTAAAAGGCAATCAGGTTGGTCAGGCAGGACCTGTCTTTGGTGAAGCCATGCTGATTGCCCCTGAGCATGATCTCCCCTGCAGGCCCCCCACAGATATGCTCCTTGATGATCCTCTCCAAGAGCTTCCCAAGCACGGAGGTGAGGCTTACAGGCCTATAATTACTTGGGTCCTCCTTCCTCCCCTTCTTAAAAATAGGGACCACATTAGCCAGTTTCCAATCCCCCGGCACCTGGCCAGATGATCACGAATGCTCATACAGCCAGGCCAAGGGCTCTGCGATGACCCCCGCCAGCTCCCTCGACACCCTTGGGTGGAGGGCATCTGGACCTGTCTAGCCCTTCCAGAAGATCCCTAACTACATCTGCACTAACTGAAGGCTTGATAGAACTATCCCCAAGATTGTCCCTACCTCTGGTAGGTGGGATATCCCGATTCCTGTTCAGGAAAACAGAGGCAAAGAAACTGTTAAAAATATCAGCTTTCTTGTCTGGCGTGGCCACCAGATTACCGTTTTTGTCTTGCAGGGGCCCTACATTGCCTGGTGCCCTCTTCTTGCTCCCAATGTACTTGAAAAAGTACATTCAGTTAGTCAGATGTTTCATTTACTCCCCAACGCAAATAGAGAAGGAAAGACATTTAATAATGTATGTACACAACTGCCATATATGTTTATCTGATGCATAGTTGACTCTTATTAAGAGCAATTTGGGATTAAGTGTTCTATTAAATCCCCTATTGGCGCCCTTCACATCCAGCCGTTACTGTGAGTTATTTTATTGTTTCAGAAGTTATTAACATATAAACTTGGAGCTGAAGCCATAACCCAGATAAAATATTTAATCCCAGTCACTTGTTTCTGGTATTATGTTCCTCCATGAAGGTACATAGTTATGTTCTAAATGGACATAAACTTGGTGTAAAGCAAAAGAGGTACTTGGCATCATCAGGCTATTAAAAAAACAACTTTCTGCTTGTGGCTTTGCTTTTGGATCTTCCTCACCTACCCTGACACAGAAATGGGACAAAAGCCTCATAAAATGTTTGTATCATTGCTGCCTGACAAGTTTCTTACTTTTTATAAGGGTACCTCTCTTAAATTTTGACTAATCATTGTCTAATTATGTAGTGTCCCCTGAGTATTCTTTTTCTCACATGCTGCTTGAATGATGGTTTTTGTTAATTTTTTCAGAATAACTGTAAACGAATGTTGAAGGGGTAGAATTTTATGTCAGTTTAGGATGCAGGGATCCTAGGTGTCCTTTCTAAATTAAATTAGTATCGTCTGGTGGCTAAGCACTTCTGCAAGGAGTCGCACATTCTAGCGTAGTGGTCTGCAACCATTTTATGGTGAAGATCACATTTTGGAAGTAAAGGGTACTCCAGGATCTATCCCACCACTGCCCCCTGCCGCATGCGCCCCTGGACTGCGGAGTGCCCCAGACCCAGCTGGGCTGGGCCAGGGCCCTATCCCACTTCTGTGCTGCAGCTGCACTGAGTTGTGCCTGCCTGGCGGCCAGACTAACATGGCATCGTGCCCTGGTATGGCCAGGTCTGGGACTCTCCGTGATCCAGGTGTGCATGGGGAGTGTGGGGGTGGGCTCCTGCTGCTGGGAACAGCCTGGTGGAGGTCCCAGGGACCCATGCCCCCCGACTTGTGCTTGGGACAAGATGGCTGCTGCTGGGGGCAGCCCGCTCTGCCCCGAGCACGGATGGGGGGGCACAGGCCTCTGCCAGGCTGCACCTAGCAGCAGGAGCCCCCTCATTTACCCCTGGATGATCAGATCTTCCCAGACCCGCCTGGGCAGGGGCCGTCCTCACGAGTTCCCACTGCTGAGATGAGCTGCGCCCACATGTGGCCAGCTGCAGCCGCCTCTGCCCCTGCAGAGATGGGGAGGGAGTGCCCTCTCCTCCCCATGCCCGTGGAGGAGCCTCTGGGCTCTAATCCTCCCACCACCCAGCCGGGCTGTGGCCCTACTTACCTTCCCCTCCTTCTGGCTGTGCCGTAGGCCAGTCACTCGCTGTGGGAGCCTTGATCTGGTCCTCTCCCCTTCCCACTCCCATAGATTGACCTGCTGGGGCTGGGGGAGTTGGGTGGGTGCATGCGCATGTGCCCAGCTGTCCCCCCAGTCCAGGATCTACCAAAAAAGACTCTGGGATCTACCTATCAATTGGGATTCCTGGGTTGGTGACAATTGTTCTAGCATTTTATCTTTTCTGTTTATTCATCTATCCACTACAATTCTTAGGTAATTGCTATATCCTACCCCTTCCAGTACAGACAACACACAATATCTCTCTGAAGTTTCAATGCATCTGGGCAGGAAATGCTTGGACCTGATCCTTCTCTGTTGATCTCCTCCCTTCAGCTTCACTCACCCTGTCTGAAATTCCCTTTAATGGAAGGGGGACAGTCAGCTGAATAATGACTGTTGATTTCTACTGTCTGCATCTACTTTTTCTAGCAGGGCCTCATAAACACAGTGATCTGGTTGGTTGTTTGGTTTTCCTTGTCTTTTGGCTACTTGCAGAAGCTTCAGCAGCCGGACAGTTGCCCACTGCTATTTAACACATGATAAGGCATAGGTATTCCTTTGGTTGAGGAGAAATCAGCCCTGGATCGTGAGTACTGAGTGGAAGTGGGTATTAGTGGATGGTTGTTTTTGCCTTAGGCTACTTCTTCAGGATTCTGGTTATTGCTGCTTCTTGGTTTCCAAAGCCAAATTAATCCCTATGCTCCCGATTCCTTCTCTGGTGGGCCCATTGGTCAGTTTGAGGCTGGAGCCTGTCACAGAAAGGTTAAGTGTCTTAGCCAAGCACTAGGGTTGCCAATTCTGTTTGAATCTATTCTGGGATGTTTCACCACATGATGTAATGACATTAATGACTTGACATCAGGAAGGCAAATGCGCGTTACTATTACATTTAAAAAACCCACTGGACAATGGTATAAATCAGATTCAACATTCAATATTTATTTTAATGAATGCCCTATCATTTATCTCCCAGGTGACTCTCAGCAGTCTCCTGGAAATTTCTCTCTAACTAGCCAATTCCCTGTCAAGAATAACGGGTGGGGGGGGGGAGGAGGAAGGGACGGAGCGCCCCCTGCCCCCCATCTGGGCCTGCTTCCCCTTCCCTCCTGGTGTTTGGGGTCTGGCCCTGCTCCCCGCCTCCCTGCTGCAGTGGCGGGGGGACGGGAGGAGTGGGCTCGGGGCCAATGCAGGGTTCCCTTCCCCCTGCAGCTGCTGTGTTGGGCTGGGCCGGGCCCCCTGTCTCCACCTACTGCTGCAGCTGGACGGCTTTTCCCCTGGCTCGGACTTGCTCCCCCAGCCCCACATCAGGCCTGGGCCCACCCCTGGTCCCACCATCACCACCGACACCACAGCACGCCCGTTCCTCCCCGCCCATGTCAGGCCTGCTTGGGGCTGATGCTGGGGAGGGGGTGGTGGAGGAGTGGGCCCAGGCCCAAGGCGGCCCGCTCCTTCCCTCCCCCAGCTGCTGCTGCGGCCATGTTGGCCCAGGCCAGCTGTTCTCTCCTCCCCCTCCACAGTGGGCCGGCTTTTCCCCCCTCAGGTCCGCTCCCCCCTCCATGCATTGGGCCCGGACATGTTCCCCTTCTGCCCGCCCACTTCGTGCCTGGACCCACTTCATGTTACCTGCAGGGAGCAGGGCAGGGGCGCGAGGCTAGCTGTGCTCACCTCTGCCCCGCTCCATCCCGTGTCCCCACCATTGTGGTAGTGGGCTGCTTTCTGTCAGAACGTTTCTTCGCATGCTGAGCGACTGTTTGTCAGCCAATCAGAGCGTGAATAAAGAGTTACGGACAGACAGACAGATTTAGGCTTTAATATTAGACTGGCCAATTGCCCCTCAGGAATGATGTGGGGGAGGGGCCTGGGATGGTGAGCTGCCACCGCAGCCCCCACACTGCCGCTGTTCTGCCTCTTGCAGGGGCCGGGGTGGGGGCTCCAGGTGGCCTCGGCCCTCGGTTCAGCTTTGGAATCACGGTGCACTCCCCCATGCTTGGAGCACTCTGGCTGACGGAAACAACCAATCAGAGCGCAAATAACGCATTAGGGACGGACAGACGGCCCTCGGCTTTTATAATATAAGAATACTCCTGGAGACGCCGGGGCCATCCCGGAGGGTTGGCAACCTTACCAAGGATGTGGGTGGCTCTGGGAAAGCCAAGAGTAGAGCCTAGGGCTCCTGATTCGCACATGCTTGCTTCAGTCACTGGCATTAAGCTAAAGTGTGTCTGCCATATGAAGACGGCGCTGTGCCAGTCTGGGATGCCAGAGTGCTGCCCCAGGGACGTGTGACAGGACAGATGGGAATGGCGCCCAAGGCCCTGTGACAGCGCAGCGCCTGGGGGTTGGTTCGGGGTGAGGCCTCGGGCCCTGGCCGGGGCCCTAGATGCTCGGAGCAGCGGCAGGGAGGGAGAGCAGGCCCGCGAGCGAGACCCCGGCCTCGGGCCACAGCCGCTCTCCCGGCTCAGCAGGGCCAGGGGGCGGGGCCTGGCGCGCGGACTGGGCAGACGCGCCGGAACTCTTCGGCGGGGAGGCGGGATCCGGCCGGAGCCGCCCGTGCCCGTACCTGCGCCCGCGGTTGCTAGGAGACGAGGGAGCGAGCGGGGGCCCCGCGAAAACGGGC